CACGCTAAAATTTCGTGTCTCATTGTGGTTGTTATTTTACGTCTTGGGGGCTGTTTTTCTTTGCATTGAAAATACCCTATTTGTTTGCATCCTCAAAGGTTCATTCGGGTCGGGAAAGTTTAGCCTAACGAAGGTTAATTCCGCACTTATTGTTTACCGTTAGTGGCTTCGTTTTTCCCATCAAAGATTAGAAAGAAAGTGAAGCACAACAACATGGTGATCCGAGTAGGGAGCTGCCACAAACTAGTTCATAGTGTTAATGGTAGGTTTTTATGCGAGTAACAATGAGATATACCAAAAAGCAAATTAGTCATCGATAACGATTAAGATCACTAAGAGGAGATTCAACGTCTACAGTAAGATGAGGATTAGGCTCCAATAATGAAGAGACAGACTTATAGTTGATAATCCTAGCTTCGAAGAGGAGATTAGATTTAAGCATACTTCGTCTCGCATGCATGGATAAGGACCCGAAGAATCCAACAAAACCTCAAGACCGATGATGTAGTGAAGAAGACTAGGACCCTTCATCTCAAAATGGGAGGGAGCTAAGATATCTCTTGAGATGGGGTATAAATATAAAGTTGGATCTCATGATGATCGTCACGTAGAGGAGAAGAATAATATCACAAATAAGTGGTAAACATAATACAACTCATGAAACATACGTCATTTCAAACACAAATAAGGAAAACAAAAAGTTAAGAGTGGTTCAAACCCTTGTCCTAGCCCACTTTCCCCAAGACTCATCTCAACAAGCCGACCCTCGAAGTGTGCTAGCGTCTAGCGTGCCGTCGCACATGACTTCCGGAAAAAAAATGTTCTTTATAAAGAATAAAATTAAAATATCTTAGAACCTTCATCACCGCGCCTCGAGCTCCCAAGTTCCATCTCCTCCTCCGTTGTTTAGCTCTGTTTGTGTGACTATATATGTATGTATGTATGTGTGTGTATATATGTGTGTGTGGAGAGAGAGAGATTTTAAAGATGAAAGTTGCAGGTGTTAGTGGGTAATGTTGTGTGTGTATGGTTCATCAGCGGAGACCATGCCGGAGACGGGGACGGAAGTCGAAAGGGTGAAGAAAAAGCTTCGAAAGTCAAAATGGTGAAGAAAAGAAGGGGAGGGTGTGGAAAAATTCTTGATCGCTGGTGGTGGGAAAGAGTTGTGATATTGATCGGTGGTAGAACCTATAAAAAAATCTTGATAGAAATAACCTGCAAAAAATGGCCAAAACTTGTAAATTGATCTAAACCCTTTGATTAAAACTAGGGTATTCCATCTCCATCAAGAACCTGCAAATGGTGGTGGTGGGAAGTGTGTAATGGTGATTCAAGGAGAGGTGAGGGAAGCTTTGGTTAAGAGGTGATACGGGGACGATGAAGTCCCTGTGATTATGTTATATATAATATATATATATATATATATATATATATATATATTAATTAGAAGAGTACTCGTGCAATGCAGCGAGATACATCTCGATTTTAATGTTCTATTTTATTATTTGTCTCTCTCAATGTTATAATATGATTTTATGTGTTTTTAAGAAAGCAATAATGATTTTATTTTTAAATAAAATATAAATTTGAAGGTATCATAAAAACTTGAAAAAAATATATCAATGTTAATATCAAATCAACTATTTAAAAGTTTTCATTTTTTGTGTAATTTCTTTAATTTATTTTTTTGTTCTAATTTAATTTAAGTTTAATAATGAAATAATTTATTTATGGTTTAATAATATGACATTTTATAAAAATAATTATTAAGTATTCTGTTATAACTCAATAAATATCCTAATTATATTTTAGATTTTTTATATTTAAAATGAGATGTTTATCCTGTATTTGATTATGTTTATCTGCAGTTAGTTACACGACTTCAGATATGGAGCTTTAATAAGTTGTACCTACGCACAATCTATTTGTAATCTTGAGTTTTAAGTAATATGCATTAATAAACAGTACTTTACACATAAAAAAGAGTTTTTAAAAGTTTCCGTCAAATGTTTTATAATATAGTATAGATATATATATATCCAAAGGATATTTTAAAAAGCGATAAATATTTGAGAAGTAAAAAAGTGATCATATCCCTTCATACAGTTAAGATCAAATTTGACTGGGCTATAACTACAGCTTTGACTGGTTAAAAATTACAGCTTATATGAAAACTGAAGAGTGTAGTTTTATAACTTTACAAATAGACGGAAAATAGGTTCATATATGAACTATATAGTTCATATGTATATCATATGAGTTCACATAGGAACCCGTTTCCCGCCTATTTGTAAAAGTTACGAAATTACCCTCCTATCTTATGCATACTCATGTGGGGAATTATCGGTGCTTCTTTATATATAAAGGGTTAAGATAACTTATTTACTTCTCAAATATTTACAACTTTCAAATGAGCCTTTCCGTGTATATATATGCATGTATGTATATGTTGTGTGGGTACAATATAATGTTGGTGTGTAAATATTATTAAAAGAAAAACTGGAAGTACAATCCTATAATAAAAAAAAATTATAAAGTAGATTGCTTTTTGTGCATTTTGCCCTAAGTCGTTGAACTTTTTTTTTACGTTGAATGATAAAATCGATGCATTTTTTTGAATGATTAAATGATTGAACTTTTTAGAAATTGGTTACTTAAACTTTTTAAGTCAAAAACTACTTGTATTGTCGTAGAACAGAGTGAATTAAAAGATTTTTTAATCATTTTTTTGGGTCTTGACATTGATTCCCCTTTTTGATTTTTCTATATATATATATATATATTCCATCATATTGTTGTGGAAGAGAGTGAATCGAAAGACAAAAAATAGATAAAAAGAAGACGACCTCATAAACGTAGGTGTTCAAACGCGTCAACATTTGTTGACTTGGATGAAATGGACTATTAGGAATCAACGAGATACAATTCTTTCTTCAACAATAATTATAATCCATATTCATATGTTAATTGTACTATAAATAATGATATTTTAGTATAAATGAAATATAATATAAATTATTCAATGTTTTATTTATATATCTCAAATTTCAATGTTTATGTTTATAATAATTATATAATGTATATTATATATATATAAAAGAAAAAAAATCAATGACGTATATTAATTAAAATTTCTTTAATAAAAACAAAAACACTAAAAAAAATAATAAAAATTAAAGTAAAGTCAGAGGTGTCAATAACAATAATTTTTTGTGATTACCAACAATGATTGATTGAATGTTTATAAACATAGGAATAGGATCAATCAAACAAAACGTCAAAAATTAAACATACCGAATAATACCTTTAATGAATTTTACTGTTTATTTAAGCATGAAATGATCCTCCAAATTCATCTTCGACCCAAAACCGTCCTTGTAGAACGTTTTCCATTCAAATTAAGCATGTGTAACAAGTGAAATTCACCTGTACATTCGCTTTAACATAGTTCATTAGTATAAACAACAACGAAGTGCTCAAGTAACAAGTGATAGAAAGCTATATGAACCAGAAAAAATCAATTATATTAAATTACACAGTGCAACTCAATTATAAACAACAGATTTAGACAGTTGAAAAACTTGCATCCAATTTCAGTTCACCAGAAACTAAAATGCGTACTTCAACTGGTATTGACGAAGCCAATCTTCACCTTTCTCGTAATAATCTTTCTTGTTGAAAACTTGTCGTGGGAAATGCATGGTGGACGCAAAGGAAGCAGCACCACGCCATGCATCAAGGACTGAATCTGAGGCTTTTAGAACCCTTATAAGGCTTCCACATGGCCTCATCATACGGACTCCAGCCTCTACTCGTTCGCTCATCCCAGGGTAAAGACAGCTCCCTCCCGTGATGAGGATTGAATTCGTCATGTTCTCTTCTATGTCTTCACTTCTCGATTGCTGCAGTCTCCGTATTGATACACCAACCATCTCATCTAACCCTGCCTGTTCGACTCCAATTAAGTTCGGGCGAAAAAGAATCTCGGGGCACCTGAATCTTTCCACACCAATTAGTATCTGGAAATCTTCCTTTGTTAATGGACGGAAACGCGGAGGTTCAGCACCTGAGGAGCTGGCTTCTGATTTTGGAAAGAATGTAGGGTCTATTTCCTGCATTAGAGGGTAATTCACGTCAATCCTACACTTGGGAGCATGTTGGCCTATTCCAGCCATCTTTGAGGCTTTTTTAACCCAAATCTTTCAGTGACACCATTTTACACGCTGCAACAAGTGTCTTTAGTCCTGTAATATTTATCTTCTGAATTTTATGGCCAAAGTCCATTTTCGTTCATAGGCCCAAATATACATGCATATTCTTCACATTAGAAAATATAGCAGAAATAAGCAATTTGGCATATTATGTCACATGCCTAAAGGGATGAGCTAATGGCACAATTTTGGCATGTTTTCTATATTTGAGATGATAAATTAAAACATGTTTAGAAACAACAACCTAAAGTGAAGGAAAATGAAATGAAGAAAACTAACCCGGAGTCTAGAAGCAACTCGAGCCAGCTCTGCCTCATCTTCATTGGGTCCCTCATCCTCGTCATCATTATCTTTGCTCATTTTCTTGTATAATTGCCAATCTTCATCTTTGATTCCAAAAGTATCCTCGCCCTTCCCTCTGTCAAACGCTGCAGTTGTCAAGAGACGCATCCTTTCCTTTTGGGCAGCATTCAGTCTCTCCCCACGACCAACACCTCCAGACACATTGTTGCTTTCATTGCCATGGTTGCCATTTGTCTTGAGTCGTTTTCTCTGTTCAACTTTCTCAGACAGATCTCTGTATTTCACTCGCAACTGCTCCATGTAAAGCTCTGGGTTCTCTCTACAAAAAGAGAAAACAAATTATGTAAAAACAAAACCAACATATTAATTCATTTCTGCTTAAGCAAAGACAAAGGCTATGAAAAGCCAGACAGCATACAGGCGTCTCTGTTCATCTTCCTTGTTACGCCTTTCTCGCTCTAACTCTTCTTCAAAACGCTTCTGCTTCGCTCTCTGCCGTCCTTCGGATGTGGTTTTAAGAAACAGCTGTCTCTTCTTTTCCTTGAGCTATTAAGAAACCATAAACATTCCAAGATCAGCCACTGGTTGCAAAGCATAAAGACTAAAAGAACAATAGTTGCTTTTATGTGTAAGGTTTTAGAAGTTGTGTAACAGATGCATTCAACCCCTCATTTTCACCAAACTAATGCCATACCACATACTCATAAATTACAGAAACAGACAACTGTGAGTCCTAACCAGTGAAATATGAAATGTATACAATACCTGCTCTGGTGTTAGCATGTTGTCAGGAATATCAATGAGGGTATACTTTTCTGTTGTAGAAGGATCTGGTTTCTCCTCAATTTCATCTTGTTCTCCCTTAGCTTTCCGCAATGATTGTGTTACCTTGACGATAGCAGCTTCAATCTCTTGCTTAGAGACATAACCGGTCTCAGCTAGAAAAGATGGAATATCATTTCCATTTACATGTCTAAGTTGATGTATAAGAAACTCCAAGCCCTTCAATTCATTTTCTAGTTCATTTATTTTTGAAGATCTCTTTGCCTCCGCCATTTCCCGCAACCTTTGGCCCTGTCTTTCCTTTAAAGCTGCTTTCCTAGCAATCTCCTCTTCTGAAGGTGGCTCTTCGACTGGTGTTGGCGTCCATGGAAGTTGCCAACATCTGGTCTTCTCTTCAGCTTCTTTTGCCCCTTTCTGTAACATTTAACTTAGGGTTAAAAACATCGATGGACAGATAAAACTTAAAAGAACTTATATATTGAGTAGATAGTGTAATGCCTGAAACAATCTAACTTCAGAAGCATAGTCTGGGGTAATATAACAATGTTCCATCTTCAATTCTTCTACTTTCTCCCATGTAAGCCTTGACCTGTTTTGATTTGAACATCTTAAGATGTCAAAAGATATTCCTAAAATTTAAAACATGATTACCAGAAAAAAGACTCTCTCACATGTGATGGGGGTACTTAAGTGAAAGAAGTTGCTTCAGATAATCGGTGACATGGTAACCACCAACATTGGTACGACAGCATGCTTCGTAAGCAGGCTCTCCATTGATAAACTGTATTCATACAGAACAAGGTAGTAAAAGAACTTTGTCAAGCAGTCCACATAGCCAACAAGTACATATATAAGCGCATATCAGTATTATATGTACATGTGTGCACGTGCACGAACGCATATGTGTGTGTGTGTGTTCAGAGAGAGGAAGAGATTGATTAAATTCAAAAATACTGAGAACATAATAAAGATAGGGGTTGAAACATGGATGTAAGAGAGAGAGAAAATGTAAGGCAATTAAAAGTGGCATAGATAACGTTGGTTACAAATTGAGCATGTCCAAGCGCATGCAACAGGAACAGATTATGCACAAGTACCATCTACCCACATAATGAATATCACAGACCTGGAAGAAGATGGAATTGATAGAAGAATGTTGCATCATTTTTAGCCAAAAAAGTCTGGTAGACTGTCAAAGATCAATGTTATTGCCTACTGGTATTGCAGACTGTAAAACTTATATATGTACCTATTATGTTACCACTGAGCAAGAGACGTGGAGGCAGCCATCACAATGATATACAGAAAATATGAGGATAAATTTCATACCGGGATCACGTGGCTTGTGGTAAATCCTGAGCAAATTGCAAGACCATCTCTGTCACAAATTCCAAGTTGTTGATTGTACTTATAGCTGAAAGCAGCATCAACACCAAAAGCTGTGAAAAGATGTCGATCAAAATATGGTATAACAGTGACAAAATTGAACAAGTATTAACATATATATATATATATATATATATATGTGTGTGTGTGTGTGTGTAAAGATTACAAGTGAAGACAAAAATATTTAGAAAAGAACAGGAATAGATGGACCTTGATGCAATCATACCAATAGAAGGAACCCCATATGTTTCAAACAGAAGTTCAGCCATTTTACTACGTGACTGTACTGGGTTGCATGCACACTCTGTAATAAGGATAGGATGATTGATCTGTTCTGCCATCAATGAAAGAAAAAAACGATGTCTCAGCAAACGCAATACAAATGACTTGTCTCCATAGAGCATAACCTTTTTCTACTGAAAGGCTCTATATTTGTGTGTGTGTGTGTGCCTGAAGAGCACCATATCATATGTTTAAGTTTTGCTCCAGTGACCAGAATGTACGTCAGTTAACTAGCTAGTGGTAACTAAAATGTCTGATACAATATTGAAAAAGTGCCAGCAACCCATATTACATGATAGCCAACACCACCAAACCAACTAGAGATTTCAGATACAAGATGAGTTTCTCCTACAGATCAACTGGTGATCAGTCGGTGGTCTGGACAAACCGAATGCAGTACAAGCACAAGTATGATATAATGACAAGAATGAAATAGGTATGAAAATGTACCGGAGTTTGATCTGCCCCCAATCTATCAAATGCAAAGTCAAGGATCTGCAAGGCAATAAAGTAAGGAAAATGGAAGTTATTTACCATAGAAAAAATCCACTAAACAAAATCATTAACACAAACCATTCAAACACAAAAGTTGCAAATTAAAGATGAGGGGAAATACAAGAAAGAACGGGAAGACCACATGGTCTGAATGTGCAAAATATTTCAGATAGTTTTCTACACTTCTATGACATAATACTGTCTAACACACTATGCTGTTACTGCGGTCAAAATACAAAATAGCGGTCAGGACCGATATTCGATATATCGATTATATCGGTAATATATCGGTCCAAAATAGCGGTTAATATAATATTTCTTAGAATTATATGCATCCATAAACATATCATATGCATTAATTAGAGTTTAGAAATATAGTTTCAAAATTAAAACATCACATAAAYTGATAARCAAGTCTCACAAARCAAAATAGGAAAAGYGTTCAAAAACGAGYTAATCGCAAGSAATAGGTTCGGCATCCGAGTCAACATCATCTAATACGTTCACTTCTTCGTTTAGGTTAGCTTCCCAATCTTCCCCTTCATCTCCAACATATGTGACCAAATAGAGAGCCCAAAAAAGTGAAAAACTAAGCCCAACATGTAATAAGAAAAGCCCAAACATTTGTCTTATAGAAAATCGGTATATCGGACCGATTTTTCCATCAAAATATCGGTAAATATCGGCGATATTATCGGAACCGATATTTCACCACCAATTTTTCCCCCGAGTCCGATATCCAATATATAGGCGATATATCGCGATTTTAACAGCATAGCTAACACAAATAGACATATGCAGTGTTAGTGAAAGACCAAAATTATCATGGATTGCAGTAATTTTAAACGACATGGTCACCATAGAACATACAATTTTTTTTGGAGGCAGAGAAACGGTGACAATGGCAATTGTTTTAACAGTAATATAATGAGTTGATGATTAAACTGGCAAGACATTTATAAGCCATAACAGATCACTAATTCTTTGTAATGTCTTATACATGTTAGAAAATCGCATAGGGAAGATGCAAAGTTGGTTGCTTCAGTGTTTCTGATTCATCACAAATATATTAGTGAAATCAATCATCACTTAAGCTGAAAAGCTGGATTGAACTTACATATTCCATTATCTCAAACTGGAAGACAACATTATTGTCAAATGCTGAACGTGGTCCAGAACGGGTGCAATCAAAGTATTTCAACAATGCAGGATCATGGTCACCAACAATCGTCACCGTTTCACCTGCATAAAAAACAGAAAATCAGATACCAGCAGATGAACTTTTGCTCAAATTCATTGTTAAAACAATTCTTTTAAAGTCCTTGACAAGAGTTGCTATTATTCGAGTATTTAACCTACAATGTCATGTTTATTGCAACACAAATGTCTCGTTTGATAGCAAAGCAAACACCAATGACAAATTTTTAGTTACATGTTTGGGTTGGTAATCGTTCATCTACAAAATTTGGCGTACTATCCATCAGTTCTCTTCAAAAGCTATTAAAAGAAAAATTAGGGAAAGATCTCTCGAATCAAATTTCAAGGTGCTTAATCATATGCATTCACTTCAGAAAAATTGACCCACTGTAATACTTCCCAAAATCTAACATGAAATAAAATTCCAGAAAAAATTAACTGAACTTTCAATTTATAAAAATTATCAGCTTGAAACAGATAGACTTACGTCTTAGTCCGTACATGAAATGGAGCAGAAGTAAGTTTGCTTAAGTTACTATGTGTTGGTTGAAAAGGTTGTCTCTAGTGCCTTCAGATACTCCAGTACTATAGCAACCATCAGTTATGTGCACTAAAGCCAGAATACTAAACTATAAATTCTCAACGTAGCTTATAAGAAAACCTCTATCCATCCCTCATCAAGATGCTTATAGCGAGTTAGTTACCCAGTTACCCATAGTGCACCTCTCAGAAATGCTTTAGATCGAACCTAATTCCCTGATATCTTTCAAGTTTCGATCATATTTATTCAACAAAAGAAGCTATACTCCAATTTGCAACATCATTTGATACACATTATGTTACTAGTTTACACCAACAACTCTTTTCAATTGTGGGTATGTAATAAAGAAAAATACATCTAACATTTTCAATAAAATCAAATAAGTTTATCCATTTGATTTTTCAAAGTCATAGCATGACCATTCCTTGGAACGACGGAATGGAATGGGTATAATAGGGTCAGGAAGAGAAGAAGAACGGAAGTTAAATTAATCAAACTATTAAGACAAACTTGTTAATCAGGAGTTAAAATACCAGTAATCTTGTGGCGCGGCCTTTGAACAATGTTGCGAAAGATGATGCGAGGCTCACTCTCTCCTGCCCATCTATAACCATCACACGCACGCACACACAGTACTCATGATCACTCAAGTAGTTGGAAAAACAATATAAATTTTGAGCTTTACACAAAAAATCAAACGACGGAGGAATTTAATTTTACCCAATTCTGAAATAGGAGGCGCCATTGTCGATGACGATTGGGCAGCTTGGAGGTATGAGATTGTAGTCTGATTGTCTCTGCGTTTGAGATATGAACGGCATTCTCTATGATTTTGATCACAGAAACTTGACGACGATGAAGATGAAGATGAAGATGAAATTGGAGATGGAGAAAGCGTGCCCTAACTTCTTCCACTGAAACTTTCAAGCGTCCAAACTGAACAGCATCCAGTTCATCTTTCACGGAAGAAGCTAGTAGTGGACCGGCCGGTTTGCTTCACATAATTTCCTCAACTCAAACCGGGTTCGGTCTGTAGGAGGTCATCTTTTATGTTATCGGCCCAACAGGCCCAAATTTATGGATTATGAGGCCTCATACCAAATAGGTGCAAATAACCGAAGTCACATTTTCCCATTATTAAATGAGTTTTTCATCAAAATGACCAAAATATACCTGATGTATTAAATAAAATTGCCATTTTTTTCAAGCTTTTCACAAAACAACCACATGGATCACCCTCGGAGGACATGTGACCATAGGGGCGATCCAAGCTTCTTTGACCCAAAAAAGTACATAAAAATATTTTAAATTAATTTGGGTGCCCACATGTATTTGATTTAGGGACAAAACATCTGATTTTTCTTAATAGGGGGATCGCCCCCACCTACCCCAGGATCTTCCCCCAAGGGGGGTCTAACCGAGAAAGAGAAGAAAAGTCATGTGCTTGAGTGGCCGAACAATGATCCAGACTACAATGATGAGGGACGGGAAGGATCATATGTAACTAACTCCATGTCTTCTGTTTCAAGCTTTCACAACAGTGAAGACAACTCACCATCAAGCACACCAAGTAATAACACCTCAAGTTCTCCAAGTGAAAGAGGTCAAAGGACTCCTGGTGAAAGGATTCAAAGAGCTCCTGCATGGTTGTCTGATTATGTTCCAGGTGATGATCTTTCTGAAGAAGAAGCTATGATGGTGCGATCCAAAGATCCACTAACTTACGATGAAGCAGTGAAAGATCAAAAATGGAGAGAGGCAATGATGAAAGAGCTAGAGTCGATAGAAAAAAAATAAAACTTGGGAACCAGAAAGATGCAAAGTTGTAGGTACCAAATGGATATTCAAGACAAAGTTAAACGAAATGGTGCAATTGAGAAACACAAGGCAAGACTCGTACCTAAAGGGTATTCTCAGCAATACGGGATCGAATATACAAAGGTCTTCTTTCGAGCTATCCTAGCAACAACAGCTCAAAAAGATTAGGAAGTGTTTCAAATGGATGTAAAAAGCATGTTTCTTCAAGGGGACTTGGAAGAGAAGGTCTTTGTTCAACAATCGACTGGTTTTGAAGTTAAAGGTGCAGAGGAGAAGGTGTATAAACTACACAAAGCGCTCTACAATTTGAAACAGGCGCCAAGGGCCTGATATAGTCGCATTGAGTCCTATTTTATTAAAGAAGGATTCAAGAGATGTACTAGTGAACATACACTCTTTACAAAAGAAAAGGTGGGAGGCCTTTTACTGATAGTGAATTTATACGTAGATGATTTGATCTACACAGGAAATAGTAGAAGGTTGTGTGAAAAGTTCAAGAGTTCTATGATGACTGAATTCGACATGTACGATCTTGGAAAGATGAGACATTTTCTGGGAATGGAAGTCTTACAGAACGAGAAGGGAATCTTTATTTGTCAAAGGAGGTATGCAAAAGAAATTTTGGAAAGGTTTGGTATAGAGAACAACAACCCTGTTGGAAATCCAATAGTGCCAGAAATGATAATTTCCCGTAACAAGGAGGGAACAAGGGTTGATTCTACCAAGTTCAAGCACATTGTTGGGAGTCTCATGTATTTAACTTCAACAAAGGCCTGATATTATTTACAAGTTTAGCTTGATTAGCAGATATATAGAGTCTCCTACTAAAGAACATTGGTGTGTAGCAAAGAGGATTATGAGATATGTTCAAGGCATTACTGAGCTTGGAATGCTTTATAAGAGGAAAGAAAATTCAAATTTGGTGGCATACTCGGATAGCAACTTCACGGGTGACATAAACAATAGAAAAAGTACGTCTTGTTCTGTGTTTCTACTTGCTAGAGGTGTCATTTCTTGGTCATCAAAGAAACAACTGGTAGTGACGTTTCCGAATACATTGCAGCAACAACGTGTGCGTGTCAATGTGTTTGGCTTAGAAGAATCCTTGTAGCACTTGGGCACAGAGAAGGAGAAAGAAGCATAATTCAGTGTGACAATAGCTCAACAATTCAACTTTCAAAACACCCTGTGTCTCATGGTAAGAGCAAACACAATGACATCAAGTTTCATTTCCTAAGAGATCTAGTGAGTGATGGAACAGTGGAACTCAACTATTGTAGTGCTCCGGATCAAATTGCTGATGTTTTGTCTAAACCCTTGAAGAAGGAACAGTTTGCTAAACTTCAAGGGTCACTAGGTCTCGTTGACATATCAGAAGTAAGCTGAAACTCTATGGTGTTCAGCTTAAAGGAGGGATTGTTGGATCCGTGCTGTGCAGATGGTTCAACAAAGAACAAGTCATTTGTGCTTTGAACAATAAAGACCGGTTGTTCAGCTTTTCTGGAGGACCACGTCTATTTAGATAGACTTTGATTTTGTCTTTGATTGTTGCTGATTTTTAGGCTTCTTAATAGTAGCTTTCTCTCTATGTAATGGCTTTAAAGCCAATAACTTTTCTTGATTTAATAACAAGTCCAGACTTTGGCTTTCGAATAAGCTTGCTATATTCAACTTTATTTCTGTTCAAATGACTTTTTATTCTACATTCTACTACCTTAATTCCTTCAGATGAATCAACCCCATCTGCAAAATGGATAAAGTTATGTTAACATACCATTTTAGAATATGCATTTTCACATATCTTGATTCCTTTTCCCTCTTTTTGCCCTTCTAGTTTCATGTCCTTGATCTTGGTCATTGACTAAGTCCAGAACGTTAGTTTTACCTGTTGCATGTTAGTCATGAATATTCTTTCATCTTAATGTTTGTGTAATGCGAACGTTGGTAATTTGGTTTCATGAAATGTATCATCAAATTGGTTTCATGAAACTGTCATGTAATATTCTACCTGTCTTCATGAAAATGTCATTTGTAACACCCCCATTCTATACATTGCATGCAACACATACTTCATACACAAGAAATACATGTTTATACACCACACAAGTCCCTTAGTACAAGAATCTAACATTACAGGATACATGGTCCAAAATTCAAAATACAATTCTTGTACTATTCCACGTTCATCTACAAAACTATACATATCATAGTCAAATCTTCATGCAGATAAGTATAAAGGAAAATATTACATTTTCCCCTTTCCCTTATCGTCTGCACCTCCTGCAACACATATTTATAATCACAAAACGAGGGTTAGACCGAAAGGTCTAGTGAGTTCCCTTTTTATGTTATTGCAGGGTGATAATCACCAAAACTTTATTTAAAAACGACGTTCCGTATATAGAACAAATATATGAACAAGTAAAATATGTTACCAATACCTTTCCAATTCCAAGGCCAAACTCTCAGCTTTCAATTAACACATCTAAACCAAAATAGGTTGTACTAACCAGGTTTCTCAAAAATGCCACTTTTAAACCTTTTTAATTAAACAAGGTTTATTCCAAAGTTTCAGGCCAAACCTGTTATTTCTTTCTCAATAACATTTAAACTATGATTTCCAAAAAGTACCCTAATACTAAACCTTTAAATCACAAAGAAATAAAGATTCCAGACCACGATAATCTTAAAGGATATAATAGTAATAGTTATATTACATAACACACATATAAATGCCACCCTTATATCCAAAGGTACACCTCTCCTTGATATGCCACTCTTATTTCTTCATCAAAACATTTATCAAAATAATTTCATATAGAACAGACCACAGTCATAAATGACTTAATGGAATGTCATCAGTTCAAAATTATCATTATCAAAAATTCCCATTCTTTTTAAAAGAATATTAACATGATAAATTATACAAACCATATAAAAGTCAATGTACAAATCCAGTCAACACAGACTTGGCCGGATTTCATCTCCAGTCAAGTCTTAGCCGGTTTAATCAATTCGGACAACAAAAACCACATGTCTGATTTACAAGTCTGGACAACACTCTCAAAGCCTTGTTTGGTTTATATCTAATCCAGACAACACAAATTCTCTTGTCTGATTTATGAATCCGGACAACTTAGTCGTATTCCTACTTCTCCATCCAATACCTTTAACCGATTTATATAATTCAAATCTTACTAACACCTTAAATCGCATAACACTGTGTTCAATTTGAGCCTACACCGGACAACACGTGTCCGATTTAACCTTAAACTGATCAACCTTTTGTCCGGTTTATTCTAATCCGGACGAACACTCGTCCGATTTAAATTGAACCGGATGAGAAACTTTAAAACACAAATCAATTATACATTTTAAAAAGATTTAAAACATTTTAACCACTCACTTTTGAAATATTTTTGAGAATAGACTTCTTGAAATTTAGAACAAAAGCAATCTGATCAACTATTTCTTTTTCTTTAAATCGCTCACTTTCTTTCAAAAATGGCAAGAAAAGTAAAAGGAGGCTTAACCCCTCCTTTTATACCCCTTTCTAAAATGAGAAAGGCGGTTAAACACACCTTATGCACACATATATACATTCCCATGCATACACCTGATGCATGCATTCCATACTACTCATGCATACATGCATATAATCATGCATACTTATGCAATCCTTCACAATTACTATTCATGCATGCATACATATTTATATATTCATACATGCATTTCTTATGCATAAAATACACATTCCCATATGATCAATTATAACAATTTGTCATGTTGTCACGTAAGCATATAACCAATAATCACGTATTAATTACCTCAGGTGATAACCAGGATCCGGTTATCACATCATTATATTGGTTTTAGTAAAACTGTCATGTAATACACTATTGTGGTGTTTGGTTCGCAAAATGTTTTTGGATGAAATGAAATTTGTTAAAGGAATTTGACTTTGAAAGAATTGGAATGAAATGTTGTCAGATTTGACCATCTGTTTGGTTGACGGACAATGTAATGAAATCTGTTAT